CCTGAAACTCCATCAATGGCAGCATCGAATGCTAAACCTCTAAAAAAACCTCCTACTTCTCTAGTAGTTTCATTATCAATAGCACGACCAACGATTTCGGTGGTTAATCCCACAGTTCCTACGACTGCGGTTGCCGGAATAGTGACTATTGCTGCGGGGGTAAAGTAGCTGACAGCCAAAGCTACAGAGCCTACCTTTCTTCCGATGTCTAAGATCACATCTCCTGTCGAAGCACTGTTGCCCATTTTTTCGTTAAAGAAATTGCCGAAATAAAAAAATAAAGTTGCTAACCAAAAAAACGAAAGGATTTTAGAAAAAAAGTAGTAAGGTTGGCATAGTCACACTGAAGAAAGCAAAGCAAACTCACTTCGTTTCGTAAAAAAAATTTCGTAAATTAGTGAAAGACTTAGACTAAGCGAAAAAATAAAAATAATTAGTAAAAATATAACCAAAAAAGAAAAGCAAAGATAAAATTATATTCGCAACTTACTTTGCTTAAAACTTAATTTTTAGAACCCGAAAGAGTTAAGGAAAACAAAAGAAAAATTAGTCTCCTTATATAAGAAAAACAAACTACACCAATAAGTTCGAAAATCTTCTAAAAGTTTCCATGGAAAACTAAAGAAAAATGATAATCACACATGCAATTTTGCCAAGAGATACGCCATTCCTTCTAAAAAACTTCTATCTCCAAAACCTTTAATCAGCATTACCTCATAATTACGACATGATTTCTAAAAAGGGAAATGGCGAAATGCTTAGCCCAGCACAATTACGCAATCTAAAAAAAGAACAATAGTAATTTTTTTAGCTCTCGGTTAAATTATCTCCTTATGGATTAATCTTGCTTATCGATTTCGCCCATCACTGTGCCAATCTATTGATTAATTTCGGCAAATCTCAAAATGGTTAATTTCTGCCCATCACTATGATAATCATCTACACCCCTATTGTATCAATCATTTCGGTTTATCTAAATCAGATTCCATCTCCGAAACGCCAAGCAACGCCCTATGACTTAATCATTATCTCATAATTTTTCGCCAAACTTACAAATATTATCCTTTACCGAAAGCGGTAAGAGTAAACATTACCAAATTACTACACAAAGCACATAATTTCCGCAGTTTCTAACAGCAAGCGGTTTAAAAACTTATATATGAGCAAAAAAATAACTGGCAGAGTTAAACCGCTTTCTTTAAAGTCCACACCTGAATTCCACCAGCGATTGAAAACTTTGGCGAGTGAAGAGAAGTGTTTGATGATTGAAATTTTAGAACAAGCCATGGAACTTTATGAGAAAGACAGAAAAAAAGCGGAAAAAGAAAATACTGTGCCACAAATTTCACAAGCAGAGGTTCCGCAGAGAAGAGTAGATAAACGACCTTTTAGGGAAATTCCAAATGGAGAAACAGAAACTAGGAGTAAAAAAAGAAAGATTAGCGAATAAAAGTTATTATGGTCTTTCGTAGTAAAATTCAATTAAAAGTTAACTAACTTTTCGAGCATTAAATTATGGAACCTTTAGAAAAATTATTAGAAAACAAAAAAAATCGAAAGAACTTCTTAGAGGCTATTCTTTGCCAAACTGATCCTTACACTAAAAAAAGGCATGCCAAATTAAACTCTTTTGTAAATTATGATAGAGCAGAAAGAGAAAAACTAAATAGGCAAATTCAAAGGTTGGAAAAAGAGATAGCAGAATTGGAAGGACTAATAAAGAAAAGGTGCTAAAATAAGTTTATAAAGTGGTATAAATAACATTTACAAAATACTATGGTAACTACAAAAAAAAACCTAAAATATGAGAAAGAAACTGTTACTGAATTGAAAAAGGCTATTTCCAAGTTAACGGAAGAAAAAAAAAGGTTGAAAGAAAAACTTGGGGTAGCTAAACTTAATTTAGCAAGGATAATGGGAGTAAGAAAAAGTGAACTAGAACGATTTGACAAAAAACTAGAAGAACTTTCAAAAAAATCTAAAGATCCTTGAAAAGCAAAACTTGCTTTATTTGAATTTATAAAAAACCTACGAGTGGAAGAAATATCACTAGAAAAAGACAGAGAAAACTATCTTTTAGAAAGTTGCTTACTTAATCACTTAGCCAAAGAAAGCATGAAAAAATATAGAAAAATAACTGCTCAATCTTTTAGTGAAACAAAATAATTAGAGACCTTTATATTTTATAAATAAAATATAATTATATAGTCTCATGGAGTATCTAGTTGTAATTAAGAATGAGGAAGAGAGTAAAAACGAGAAAGTTTGAAAGTGGAAATACACTTTTATCGATGTAAATACAAAGAAAACAGATTACTTTTACCACAACAAAAAAGCAAACTACACCCCTAACATAATAGGAAAACTAAAACTCATCCAAAATGATGAGGGTGTCAAGTTTTATCAATCGTTTAATCAGGATGAATTTAGACCTTATAAAGGAGAAGAGAGAGAAAAATCATTAACTGAACTAGAAAAAGATGCCAACCCACAAATTGAAAAACTAGACAAATATTTTGCTAAGAAAGTAATTGGAGACAACCAACAACAATTACTCGGAATTTTCCATGCTTTACATGAAGTGGATAAAAAATGAGAAAAGACAGCGACTAGATTTAATAGGACTGACCGAAGCATGAGGAGATGAAGATGAAAACTAGTCAACTGAAATTCTATAATCTGAAAAAAAAGAGGTCGTAAAAAGATAATGAATGAAGATGACTTCTTACTTTTACTTTTTTTAACTAATTCTCCTAGGTATAACACTAAAACTCAGCAATGAAAGTCTGATGAAATTTTCAAAAGAACAGGGCATCGATACAGTCGACAAGTTCTTTCTTACCATCTAAAAAAATACAGTGAACTTACTGGTAAAAGAGCAACTAAAAGATACTCTGAACAAGATTTGGAGGAAATTTTCAAATTTCTTAAAGAATATAGTTGACTTTATTCTCATCCCAATTGTTTGGCAGTAGATGAATTTAGCACTCATCCAGGTGAAACTCCTCGTGTTGCTTGGTCACGAAAGGGTTGTCCTGCTGTTGTCAAACAAAAAGGTAAGAGAGGTTCCGATTACACTTTAATTCTTTGTGTTAGAAATGTAGAGAAGGGGGCAGTAATTAGTCATAAACCGATTAAGAATGTCAAGGGCAAAGAAAGAAAAACCAAAGGAACTACTGCAGTAGACTTTTATAATTTTCTGAAAAACATCGAATTACCTACTAACGAGACATATTATCTTTTGTTAGACAATTCTACAATTCACTATACTACTGAGGAATTAGAGGATTTAGGTTTGAGTATGGAAGAATTAGCACGACAGAAGAACATTGTTCTTGTTTATTTACCTCGTTATACTCCTGAACTAAATCCAATTGAGTTATGTTTCAATACTACTAGGTATCTTACTGAGAATTTACCAACTGATAGCGAGAAAGAACTGAGAGAGGCAATTGATAAAATTGTAGATATGATTAATCAAAAGGATTTAACTAAGTATTTTAGACATTGCCAAGATTTTTTTTCTTTTGACAAAAGCGGACATTAATTTTTTGCGGGGTAATATTATATTATTAATTTTAAAAGAAAATTTATTTAGGTGGGATTTCTTGGTGAGATTGAAGTTCTTCCTGAATTTGTAAATCTACCAATTCATGAACTTCTCGGTTAGTAGATTCATTTTCTTTAGAATTGCTGATAGTTCTTTTTCGGAAAACATTGGTGGATTGAGAAGCGGTAGAAAGGGTATCCTTAATTTCTAGAAGTTGAGTACTACTATTATTGTTAAAAGTGCTGACTAATGGTCCTTTTTCAAATTCCGAGGTATTATCTTTGTCTTTTTGAATTACCTCCAATTCTAACATTCTATTTTTAATACTTTCTTCTATCTCATTATTGGCAATTCCTTGCTTATATTCACTGATGGCAGTTTGTAAGATAGAAGTTAAACATTTAATCTTTTCGTGTTCACTTCTTCTTACTTCCCAAACCTGCTTTCATTCATCTCACAATTCGTTTCCATCTCGGAAACTAATAAACAATCTACTTAACTCTGATTTGGCTTTTGAGATGGGGGGTAAATTGTTTCAAGATTCCAAATACTTGATTCCATCATTTAAAAGGATAAATTCTTTTCACCTGCTACTTTGGTCTTTACGAAGAGACCAAAAAATATACCCTAAACATTCTCTTCATTTGTTTTCGTTTCTATTAATTGTAGTCTCTTTCACAATTTCCCTAAGTTCTTGCTGTAAAATTTTAAGTAATTTATTTAACTCTTCTCGCGAATCAGAACGAAGTGGTTTAAGAATCTCGGCTAATTCTTGATATCGGTCATAAATATTTTCGGCATCTTTATTAAATTCGGATAATTTTTCTTTCTTTTGTTCAGATTTAAAAAGTTTTTCTTTTCCACGAGAGATAAGATAATCAGCATAGAGAGAAACTCCGGCAATGATTGCTCCCGTTTGAGTATCACCTTCGATTGCCAAACCGGCTCCAATTACAGGGATGGTGCGGGTTAAATACTGAGTGATGGTATAAAAGTTTTCAATGCCTGCAGTATCAGCTAATTCTATTACTTGGTTTTTATCTCATTTATTATGGTATTTACGGAGGTCATTATGGATATCATATAGTTTGTCAGAGGGAATAACTTCCAAAACTTTGTTTTCTTGCTTAGGAGAAGAAAAGGAGATTGTTTTTTCAGTTATTTCTAATTTATTTTTTGTCATATTTATTTAGTAGGGATTTGGATTTGAGTGATGGTTTTAGTTTGGTTTAAGTCAGCGATAATTCTTTCTGCTTTGGCTAAAGCACTTTCGAGAGTAGGATAACCCACTTTATTTTTGGCATATCTTTCTAATTCAGTTAACTTATTATCTTTATATTCGAATAATCTTAATGCATAAAGAAACACTTTGTTAATTACTAAGGCTTGGTTATTCTCTAAGGGGATGATTTTTTCAATAGTTCCATGGATGGAATTTTTTTTAGTGATTATTTGGTCTCAGTTAAAAGGAGAAGTAGAACTTACCGAAGAAAGTGAGGAAGCAGTTCTGCCATAATGAGAGATAGATCTTAGTTCTATCTCCGAATTAGTATCATTAATGTTGGTTTGATCTTGGAGTTTTTTAATTAATTTTTCTAAATTTTCTAACTCTGCTTCTAATTTAGTTAACTGTATTAACTGGTATTGTTCTTCTTCATATAGTTCTGTCTTAGTTTTTAAATTGTTTATTTCTTTAACATGTTGTTCTTTATTTTTAGTTAACTCTTCAGCAAATTTTTCAGAATTGCTCATTTTGGCAAATTCTTGCTTATTTTTTAGCATTTCTTTTGCTAAATCCCAGTGAAATTTATGAACTGATAGGGAGATTTTATCTGCTTGGATAGAAAAAGGAATGCCGCATACTACTAGTGTAGCAAAATGCTCACAATTATTACCTAAAAAACTATAAGATTCTGCTCCATATTTAGCCAAAACAGATTTGGTGATATGTTTTTGAATTTTGGATGGTCTTTGAAAAGGGATAATCGGATGATATCTAATTAATTTATCAGTGCCATGCAAAAAATCGACCCAGTTATCAGTCCGAGCACCTAACAAAGATTTATTATCTTTAATTTTACTAGATTTAACAAATTTAGAAGAACCAATATGAACTACCTTTTTATTGCCTAAATAAATTGCTACATGATAGCAATCGACATCCATATAACTTAAAATTTCAAAAAGTTTCTCAATAACACTAAAAAGACCAGAAGTGTCCACTGCTTTGATAATGTCGATAATATTACGAACCATGGGGTTATTCACAATTTTTTGACCTACTTCCATAGCTCTTCAAACTAAATCACCGGGTTTTAAATATTTATCTGGGTCTTCTATAACTTCTTTTGGTAATTTAATTCTTTTTATAACTTTATCAGGGGAAAAACCACTACTACTATCAGAATAAATAGCCAAGATAGGATTATCATTGTTTAGTTTTTCTTTTAATTCTTCTACTTTTCGATAAACTTTATCTTTGTAAATATGTTCTGAAACTTTAACCACTTTAAATATTTTGCCCATCTCTATTTTTTTTATCGCCACTTCTAATCGTTCTATTCTTTTCTGACAACTGTCAACTTGCTCCATTTTTTTTCTTTTCTCCGTAGTTCGTTGCTTTAAATTAGTAATATCAATGTTTAAAAATGACATTGTTTTGTTTTTTTCAATAACTAATTCCTGCTGAGCAACTTTTAATTGATCTTCTAACTCTATTTTTCGGTTCTTTTGTTCCTTAGTTAATGGCTCATAAACTACTAATCTTATTGCATATCAAACTACTTTATTAACCACTAAAGCACAATTAGGGTTTCATCAAGTAGAAAAGTAATAAATATCTTTAATTTCTCCATAAATATTTAGTCTTTTTTGAATTATTTGGTTCAATTCTTCTTTATCTATTGCTATTATTTCACTTTGGGATAAAACAGGCAAAGATTTTAAAAATCTATTTTCAATAGTTGCATAATCTAATTCTTTATTATTAGTAATATTTATTCTTTCTAGTACCAGTTTTTCTGAATCAACAGGAAAGAGAATATCTACTAAATTATTATCATTACAAACTAATTCTTTTAGATTAAGAGAATTACTTATGTTTAGTTTAGTTAATTTATTATCAGAGCAATTTAATTCTTCTAGATTTACAAAATCACCTAAATTTAATTCGCCTTTCAGTTTCTTATTGTTTGGAACGTTTTCTTTCAAATTCACAAGTGCTAAGGTTAAACTTAATAGGGAGTTTAAAAGGGAGTTTAAGTCTGGTACTAGGGGGATGGGAAAGGGGAGTTTTGAACTAGTTAAGTTTAACCTTAAACTTAATAGGGAAGAAAGTTTTGGTTCAGCAAATAGATTATCATTATTGCCATTAATAAATAAACGTTCTAATTTCTTAGGATTAGGAACTAATTGCAGAAATTTGGTGCTAGTTAATTTATTCCTTCCACAACTCAATTCTTTTAAATTTGAACAACCACAGAGATTCAATTTGAAGAGATTATTGTTTTCACAATTAATTTTTTCTAATCGAGGGCAATTAGTTATTTCTAGTTGAGTAAGGTAGTTAGAGGAACAATCCAATTCTTGCAACTGAGCAAAATTAACTAATTGCAAAGAATTTTCTAAATTTTTCAAACTTAATTTAGTTATTTCGACTCTAGTTTTACCTTTATTATTTCACTTTTCAGATTTATTTTGAACTGGCAATTTGTCTATTTGTGAATCAGTTTGCGGATGAAGAAAGTTACCATTTATTGCTCCATTAGTCGGACACTGAAGATTAGTTTTAAAATCGGATAGAAGAATATTTCCAATTGAGTTATTAACACTTTCTACTAGACAGACACCATCTTTAGGATAATTCTTGTCTAGTCATTCCTGAGCATTATAAGTTCAGATGATTTTATCCTCACTAAGTTGTGGAAATTTACTGAGATCTAAGTCTTTATTTTTTAATTGGTCTCGACAACACTCTAATTTGGTAAGTTGTGTGCATTCTTCTAAATCTAAATTTGTAAACTGATTAATGGCACAACTAAGATCACTAATTTTTCGGCAATTACTTAGATCTAGGTTAGTTAGTTGGTTGTCGGAACAATTTAATTTCTTTAATTCTGAACACTTGTTAATGTTTAAAACCGTTATTTTATTGCCATAACATTTCAACTTTTTTAGTTGACTAAATTCTGTCAAATCTAATTCGCCTTCTAAATCTTGATTGCTAATATTTATTTTTTTTATTTTAGCCCTTTTTTCTTTTAGGTTATACTTTTCTTGAATTTCTAGTCATTCCTGAGCATTTACCATAATAATTATTTTACTAAACCCACTAATATCTGTGTTCTTTTATAATAAAATTATCTATTATGGTTAGCAAAAAAAAGAAAATAGAATAAATCTGATGAAAGTATTATCTCCTTTTTCTTTTATTAAAAGTTAAATAATCTTTGATGGTTCCAATGGATTGTTGAGTGATTTCTAAAGTGGCATGACTCATGCGAGCAGAACCGTCAATGATGGTTAGGTCATATTTTGGTGCTTCTCTTAATGCTTGTTGGGCAGCAGGAAAAATTTCTACTTTGAATTTACTCTTTTGGCGAACTTGTAATCAATGATAACTTTTTATGGGAAGTTTCTACTGCTCGGACAAGGGCAGACTTCCTCCTACTCCTCCTTTTTGGGAAATGAAGGCGATAATAGTCATTATAATTTGGCTCTAATACTAAATTTTAATTTAAACAACTTTAGCAATATTTCATTAATCTTTTCTAGTTGATTTTCCGTTAAGCGGTTAACTGCCCGTCCAATTAATCTTGTCTTATCAATCCCTTTTATTTGGTCGACCATAATTTTTCCATCTCGCCCATTATTGGCTAAATTGGCTTTAAAGTAGTGGAACAAGGTAAAACTATTACTCTTTTTCCCTCTTCGTTATATCAATTATCCGAAATGATTAAGCCCAGATGATTTCCTTTCAATTCCGTTCCGACAGTTTCCTCGTCAAACTCTATTCAATAAATTTCCCCGTATTTATATAATTTTTGGTCTCCGACAATGCTACTCATTTCCGCCATTATTTATCTTTAACTTTACTAACTATTTTATCCCAAGCGGTAATTTCTTTATTTCGTTGTTCGTCTTGACTAGCCAAACGCACGGAACGGCGTCAAAATTCTTCCTCGTTTTCGGCTTCTTGGTAAACTTTGTAGTTTTCATGTTCTTGTTCCAAAAACTCTTTAACTTTTTTTCCGTTTTGAGTTTCAATAATTATTATTTCTTTCATATAAAATTATAAATTTTGCATTTTATTACTATATTATAAATTTATGGCGATAACATACAACTTTACCCCTAACTAATTATGAAACTAAAAAAACTTATATTTTAAAATTTCTTTTGAAGGTAAAATGTATGGATTGTGAAAATGAATTAACACTTATCTCGCCCTCCTTGTCAGGGGATATAGCAATAAAAACAACTGGGGTTGGTTAACCCAAAAACCTGAAGAAAAAGAGATATAAGTGTGATGGTTGTATTATTGACATTTATAAAAGGTGGTAATAAAGTAAAAATAAGAGGATGATTATCCAAAAATGTTTGGAATAATTGTCTAAAAGAAAAAGTGAAAGTGCTATCAGTCTCAATTTTCGCTATCAAACGCAACTCGTCAAGCTTGTTTAAGTTCTTCAATCCTTTTTCCCGCTCAAAACCCCTAAGTTCTTTTTTAATCTCTCCTGGTCAACTGTACGGGGATAATTAAATTGAAGTTTGCTGGGATAATCTAGTCCAGTTTCTGGTGTGTTTTTAACAAAAACTTCGAAAGGTTCAATGTTTTCAATATTCTCAGTAGTTAATGCTATGACCACTATTCATTTACCATACTATCACTATATTACTAAGTGGGGGCGAATAGGCTTGCGACTTTCTTTGGTTGATGGGAATTCCACTAGTCAGATTTCTCCTTGTTTAGGAAGCGGAAGAACCTTATCAACTGTATTTCTAATTTTCTTACTCATCGTTTAAACCATCTCCTGACATTTTATCTTATAGAGTTAATTCCGACTGTATTTTTTTATTTTTGGCTATTCTTTTATAAGCCGCTATTAATTTTTCTTTTAGTTCGGTTTTTTCTATTTTTTGTTCTTTTTCTAGTTCTCTTTCGACAGTTTTATTAACAAACTCGCTAACTTTTCTGAGTGATTAAAGACTTGATTCTGTTATAAGTTTCTTCGGAAAAATAGATATTTACATTATGTCCTCGCATAATGTATTATTTTAGATATTATATTGTTAGAGTTTTTTTATAGTAATTTAAAGTCCTAATTCCTTATTTTCAAAGGTTTGGAGCAAAAATTAAACTATAAATAATTATTAGCATTGTAATATTTATAGACAATTTGTGAATTTTTAAGGGAATATTTTCTTTACTTTCTTATTAATAACTTTTTGGCAAATTTTTACAAAACCTATTTCCTCTAATAATTTTTTAGAGTAATTATTTTGCATAGAAAATGATTTATTAATCTTCTTTTCTCTATTTATTACATTTTTCAAATTAAATGATAGCAAGTAATTAATTTATTTTAAAGTAAAACATTTTCTGAAATATTTAGTTAAATCTTGTTTTTGTAATTCTCTAATCGCTTCATCTATCGCAATTCCTAACTTCTCTTCGGTTCTCGCTCGTTGTTTTTCCACATACTGCCGAATTTCATTGATACATAACTCTGCTGGTTTTAACTGAGGAGAATAAGAAACTAAGTGAATAAGTTGGGTATTTTTCTCTATTGCCAACTCCTTGATGGTTGACAGTTTTAACTTCTTGCAACTTTTGGTGGCATGATGAATTCTTGCATTATCCAAAAAGAGATGGTTCTCTTTATCAGTAGGAAAATTAACATTAGATAAAAACTCGTGAAAATCTTTAGTCTTGGCACCGCCTTTAATAAGTTTGTAGTGAATAGTTCCATTCTTTTCTACATTCCGAATACAAAGCAGCAAAGTGTAATTAACTTCTCTTTTATCCGGTCGCTTAATAACTACTCGACAATTACTAGGAGAACGACCATAACGAGGAACTCCTCCTAAGTTAAAACCACATTCATCCAAGGCATAAAGAGAATTTAAAGATAACATTCAATAATTATCCTTAATAAACTGTCTAAATTTCTCTTCATCCCACTCCGAGAATTGTTTGGCACCCTTTTTATAAGTGGTTTTGTTTTTCTTTAATACTCGAAAAATGGTTGGAACACTAAATAATTGGCCAGTTTCCTTAAAGAGATAATCCGACATTTTTTTTAGGGTTTTGGTGTTATTGGTGTCAATATAAGAATGCAAAAGATTAATGGCATTTTCTTCCATTTTCAATTCAACTCCTCGTTTTTGTAATGGTTTAGTAATTGGTCTAATTCACCGATAAATAGTTTGTTTGTGTTTTTCATACATGGTCGCCACCTGTTTTCAAGCATAACCCATTTGGTGTAAGCAGTGTAAATGTTGAGAGTCAAGAGACAGTTTTATTTTCTTATTGAAAAACTTATTAACAGTATTCTCGATTGTTTTATCTAACCACCTTCGATTTGAACTAAACTACTCGCTTTCCCAAATCTCTCAGTAATATCTTTAACTTCTCGTTCGAAAGATTGGAAAAATTTATCGGTGGTTAGATTTAACTTTCCAATCGAATTAGGATTGTAAGCAATTGGTTCAGAATGGTAAAAATAACTTTCTTGGCTAGTCTGAATATCTAAAAAATCGTATTTTCAAAGATTACTAGTCTCTAATTTTTGCTCACTAACAATTTTGGCAAGATACTCCATATAATATATTTTTTTTAATAAAATATAAAGGATTTATAAAAATTAAAAAAAATTTCAATTAGAAAAAGGATTTTAGTTAAAAAATAAGATTATATAACTATCATGGTAAGAAACTTAAAGAAATGCCCTAATTGCGGTAAAGGTTTATCGGTGTGAGAAGAGGAGGATAAGTATCCCATTTTTAAAAAGATGGAGGTAGTTTTGCGAAGTAATAAAAGCAGTTATGAAAAAAAGATTGCTTTATTCAATTGCTTAAAAGATGTAGAAGTAGATAAGTTAGAACCAAAGAAAGAACAAAGAATTAACTGTTTATTAGAGGGCAAACTGTATGGTGAATTGGCTAAACAGAAAATGAAGGAGTATAAGAAATTAATGGTTGAAAATTTTAGTAATAAAAAGTAAGATCCATGAAAAAAGAACCAACGAATTTAAACTTATTAAAAGATAAGTTATGAAAAATCATTAGTGAGCAAAGAGGGCAAGTAGAAGTCGGTAATTCTTATAAGGATATTGCTTTATCAACTTTTTTCTTATTAGCAGTTAACAAAAAATATGAGTCGAAATTAGAAAAAGAAATTCAAGCCAATCCCAGTTTGCCGAAAAAAAATATTGCTGAAGAAAAGAGTTTTTTCACTATTTGGGTTCCTCCCGAAGCTCGTCTTGAATGTTTGAAACAACACTTAAATAATGATTTTAAATACACGGTTAGAGATGCTTTGAAATTGCTAGAAGAAACTAATCCTTATTGATTAAAAGATGCTAGTTTTGCTAATCTTTTTAATAATCCTGACCTTTCTAATCAATTGTTAATTAACGTTTTTCAAGAGTTAGATACTTTGAATTGAGATTTTGAAAATCATAATGGAGATTTTTTTGGCGAAGCCTATCAGTTTTTAGTTAATCGTTTCGCGGCTAGCATGGGACAAGCCGGAGGAGAATTCTATACTCCTCAATCAGTTGTTGAATTATTAGTAGAATTAATTAGACCTTTAGATGGAATTGTTTATGACCCTTGTTGCGGAACTGGCGGTATGTTTGTCCAGTCAGTTAAATTTGTTAAGCATCATTCTGATAAAGATCACAAAAAATATGACATTCAGATTTTCGGGCAAGAAATCAGTGTTTATACTCAAAGGATAGCCAAAATTAATTTATCTTTACGAGGAATCGCAGCAAATTTAGGGAAACCGGTAGATACTTTTAAAGATGATCAGCATCGAAACCTGCAAGCCGATTATGTTTTGGCTAATCCTCAGTTCAATCAAAAAAAGTTTCATCTTGATCCCAAAGATTCTCGCTATTCCGAATTAGGTGTTCCTCCCAAAAAATTTGGGGCTAACTTTGCTTGAGTAGAAACCATTATCAGTAAGTTGAAACCAACAGGAGTAGGAGCAGTATTGATGGTTAGCAACATTCTTTTTAATAGTGCCGAAAAAGCCATTAAAATTCGCCGTAACCTAGTTGAAAACCGTTATTTAGAAGCCGTTATTACTCTTCCGCCTAAATTGTTTTTTGAAGTAAATATTGATGTTTATGTTCTTATTCTACGAAAAGGAAGAGAAGAAACGGACGATAACGTCCTTTTCATTGACGCTAGCGATTTGTTTGTTAAAGAAGACACTAATTTAAATAAACTTTCTCCTAAAAATATTAATGAAATAGTGAGTGTATACCGAAAATTTCAAGCAAAAAAAGATGATTATGATCAAGAGAGAACTTTAATGGTGTCTCCTTCTGAAATTGAGAAAGATAATGAACTGTATATTTTATTGCCTAAAAAGTTTTTTAAGTACAACAGAAACATCAATAAAATATCTAAAATCAAAATAGATGAATTAACTCAGCAAATTCAAACTTTGTTTAAAGAGATTGAAAAATTGAACCAAGAATTAACAATTATTTACAATAACTTAACTGAAATCTGTAAGATTTTGATTAACCAAAACAAAGAAAGCATACGCTTAGATTTATTAACTACTATTCCTAATTTCAATATTTTTTCACCGAGTGCTTATTCACAAGTATTGTCTAATATTTTTTTCACGGTTGATTTATTTTTTGCCCAGAACATTAATACTACTATCAAAATAAAGAACTACTTCAATTTGATATCCGGTCATACTCCTTTAAAAAGTAGAGTAGATTTTTATCAGAATGGAACAATTAAATTCCTAACCCAAGGAGGGCTATTAGATATTTATTACCTTAATAACGAAATTCCTCAAAGTAATTTGATTACTGAAAAAGCAATCAAAGAAAAAAAAATGCCATTCACTCGCCAAAACTCCGTCATAATGCCCCATATGGCACAAGATGGAAATTTCCGTCGCCGGATAGTTTGATGTCAAACCAATGATTACACTTTTAATAATTTGGTGGTCAATTTTGTCGCCAAAGATGAAAAACAACACAACTATTACTCAGCCACTCTTTTTTTTGCTCTGCGTAACCAAGCCAGTAAATTAACTTCTCTAATTGTTGGTTCACGCGGAGAAGGAGGAAAGATAAACATAAAGCAAATTGAAAATCTAACTATTCCTTGAATATCTAATCCCAAAACCCAAGAAAAATTATTTAATCTGTTAAATAATGATTTGGCGAGATTAATCAAAGAAAAACAAGAATTAATCAAAGAAAAACAAGAATTAATCAAAGAAAAACTCCTCCGAGTTAATATTCCAACTAAAGAAAATGACGAAAATTAAAGAAAAAGACTGAGAAAATTACTTAGTTAAGCAATTACAAGGATGAGGTTGAACAAAACTGGACACTATCTTTCGTCAAAACAATCACGAAGTAATTGATAGAGACATTTTAGGAAAACAGTTACAATTGATAAATCCTGAATTAAGAACTGAACAAGGAGAAAAAATAATAAATGAGTTGATAGATATTCCTTCTTCTTATCAAAAGATTGCTGAGAATAATTACGATTTCTATAAAAGTTTAACAAAAGGGGTAGAATATTATGATCAATTTTCTCAATCTCATAAAAAGGTTTATCTAATTAACCGAAGTTGAGAAAAAAATGATTTTAGTTTTGTTCAACAATTTAAGGTAGGAAACCTCGCTAATCGAGAAGAATTTGTGGTTTTCGATTTAGTTCTTTTTATTAATGGTATTCCATTGACTATCATAGAAGTAAAGAACTGGAGTGATGATGATAAGAATTTACTAGAGAAACAACAAAATTCTCTCAAACAAATTAAAGAATATGAAAAAAATGTTCCTCACATTTTCAACTTTTTAAATTTTGCTACTGCTTCCTTGTCTCCTTCAACTTTTTATTACGGAGTTTGTGGAAAAGATAACCAAAACTATTTTTTATGGAAGGGGAAAAAGAAGGAAAACTTTCTATTTACTCGGCAAAATTTTTTAGACATCTGTCAAAATTTTACTTTATACAATAAAGAAAAAGAGAAATTTATTATTCGCTACTATCAACTAGAAACCATTCGAGAAATAAATCTAGAAGATCCCTTAGTCGGAGTTATACAGCACGCAACCGGAAGTGGAAAATCTTTTTTGATGGTATGTTTTATTAACTACCTAAAAAATAAAAAGAGAAATTACTGCTACCTATTTGTCGCTGATCGACGTAATTTAGTTAAGCAGTTTTACGATAATTTTGAAAACTTTGATTCTTCAGCAGAGTTCAATTTGATTGAAGAAAAAAGTGTAATAAAAGAGGGGAAATTATTTTCTACTATTAGTCGCAAGCAAGCCGATAATTCAATTTTTTTCACTACTATTCAAAAATTTAATCAAGATGAGGTAAAAAGTTTCAACTGTCCTAATAATTTTTTAGTTATTGTTGATGAGGCTCATCGCTCTCAACACGGAGAGTTTGCTCAAATAATGCGAAACTTTCTTCCAAAAGCCACTTTTTTGGGATTAACTGCTACTCCGCTCACTAGAAAAGGAAAGTCTACATCTGAGGCTTTTGGAAAAAAAGAATACACTTTTACCAGTAGCCAATCAGTAGAAGAAGGGTTTACAGTTCCTTTATTTTATCGATTAATTATGGATCAGGCTATTTTAACCAATGGTTCGCCTCTCAAAGAACAATACCGAAGGATTATCAAAGAAAATCAGGATAAAGAGGAGGGAGAAGTCAAAAAAGCCTTAAACAAAGAAATAAAATTAGAAACTTTAATTTCTAATCCTAAAAGACTAGACTGAATTGTCAAAAAATTCTTTCAAATTTACCAAACTATGAAAGAAGAAGCCCAAACTGAGACTTTCAAAGTAATGTTTATTGCCTATTCCAGTCAAGTAGTGGAAGAACTTTATCAAAGAATGAAAAAGATTTCTTGTCATGTAATTCCAATCATTTACCCAAATAAAAAATTAAGTAAAGGAGTAAACGAAATAGTCGCTAACAACGAAAAAAATATCGAAATTTTTCGTAGCAAACAAAATGAAAATTACCAAATTGCTTTAGTTTTAGATATGTTAAATGTCGGTTTTGATATGCCTTGTTTGCAAGCAGTTTTTATAGATACAATTAAAAGTGAAGATCACGACATTTTCCAAACCATCTCTCGACCTAATCGCCAATTTAGTGGCAAGAACCACGGTACAATTATCGATTTTCTCGGACTCAAGGATAATATTATTCAGGCAGTAAAAAAATACGATGCTCAAAGTTTGCTAATTTTGGATCAGGAAATTGGAAGAAAAATAAAAGAAGACATTCAAAAATTACAAAAGGTTTATGATGACTTAGGAAAAGAGATAAATAAGCAGTTGATGAAAGATTTGCAGTCTGAGCCTAGTTCTCTATTATTTATTGCCGACCAATTAAAGAAAAATGAGGAAAAATGGTCTGATTTTCGTCAAATTTGTATAGAAGTAAAAAGATACCAACCCTTTTGAAAAATTGCCGGTGAAGAAGTGATTGAACAAAAGGAAAAAATATTCTTGCAAAGATCGCTAGAAATAACTCAATTAGTTAGACAAGTTAAACAAGAAAAAGACATTATCGACTTAAATTTTCCAGAGTCTTCGGATTTATCAGTAAAAATGAGAAGTCGACTCTGAGAAATTATTCGAGTAGTTCCTTCCTTAGAGAAAGAGGAAGAGTTATGGTTGATTGGTGGCGACTCAACCAAGTTAAACAAAATTAGAGAAGAATGAACCAAAGAAATAACACTCAGTCGAATGAGAGAAAAGTTGGGATTATTAAGTTCCTTGCTTTCTAGCGAAGATGAATTTGTTTGCAAGTTAACTAACCTGCTTAATGAATATAATAACAAAGTTGGTTGAGAGGTTTCTGAATTAGAAATTCATAAAAAGGAATTAGAAAATGAGATTTTTCGCTATAAGAAAAATCCGGAACAGATTTTGTCTGTTACTATTCATAGATTGTTAAAAGAAAATTTTCCTACTGAAAAAACCTTTGATTTAAAATTAACTACCGAGAAAATATTAAAAACTACTAAGGAACTTCGAGAAAAAATCGATTGAAGTAAAAGACATGAAATTCAACAAGAAGTTAGAAAAACAGTTTGAATAATTTGTTGAGAGTCATTCAAGAACTCAGACATAGTGGATAAGGTTCTAACTGCTTTGAAAGAGAAAGAAGCAGAAATACAAGAATTTAATCATAAGTATAAAGAGTTATTTTTGAATCGAGAATAAAAAATAACTTAAAAGACTATCATTTAATTTGAAAAATGTAATAATATAACCTTTCTAAAATGCTAAACTAACAGAATTTAAACCCTTTTTTGCTAACCATAATAGATAATTTTATAAAAACCCCTACTGCACAGCATTTCTTTTGTAAAAAATTATAAATATAATAGTGCCTATGGTCGGAGAGATAGAAAATAGCAAATTAGTATAATTTTAAAAACCAATCGCTACCTAATTTGCTATATTCATGCTTAATTGCTTTTGTAGCGGTTGCGAAACATTAATTTTTTTAAATAATAACGCAAATAAATATTAAAAATATATGGTAAATAATATAAATGCACAAGAATATCTAAACAAAAAATATCCTAAAAAAGGAGTATGCAAAAGTAATAGTGACAAAGAAAATAAGGACAAAAAACGCGAACAAATAATTATACTAGACCTTAGTAAAGGAAAAGTTGGAAAAGGTCGTTTTAACGATGGAAAAATTCTAGAAGGTTCTTTAAAAATAGAGGGGTTTGCTAATTTACAAACTTTAATAATCTCTTCTCAATCAATAACTAGTTTAGATGTGAGTAATTGTTGTAATCTGGAAAAGTTAGATTGTAGCGATAACAAAATTACTGATCTGGATGTTGCTAGTTGCACTAACCTTAAGAAAATTAACTGTTCAAGTAATAACATTAAAAGTTTAAAATTTAGTGATTGTCTTAATTTAGAAGAAGTAAAATTAAGTGGTTGTCAAGTTCTCGATAAAAATTCAATAAGTCTTAACAAAGAAGCAAATCTTATTTTTAATATTGAAGAAGATAAATTAGTCAAAGGACCAGTTATAATTCCTGCTGGAGAAAATATTTTAAATATCTTATTAATAGGTTGAACTGGCAGTGGAAAATCATCCTTGGCAAATACTTTGTTCAATAAAAACGAACAATTCGAAGAAGTGTTTTTAGAAGGGAGGTACGGGGTTAGCAAAACTAAAGGTTTGCAAAAAAATGATGAAGTTTTTGAATGAAAAGGCAAAAAGTATTGTTTAATTGATAATATTGGCTTTGGTGATACTAGCAATTTATCTGAAGAGGATATTTTAAAAAGGGTAGCAGATGGAATTTATTCAGCCAGAGAAGGAATTAACCAAATTCTTTTTGTGGTTGACAGAAGGTTTACTGAAAAACACACAAAAGCCTTTAAAAAATTTGAAAGATTTATCTCGGAAACTGGCGTTACTAAGTTTACCACTATTGTCAAAACTGGATTCACAAGTTTCGGAAATCCAGCATTGTGTGAAAATGATCGGCGAATTTTAGTTAATGAAAATGGCGAGTTGAAGAAAATAATCGAGAGTTGTAATAACATCATTCACGTTGATAACCCATCAGTTGCTGTAGAAGGAGATGAATTAGATTTAAATGTGAAAAAACGAAAGGAATCAAGAAAAAGAGTATTAAATTACTTAACTGAAAATTGTTCCGAAATTTATAAATTACGAGAATGGGATGAACTATATTCTGTGATGGTTAAGTATAAGGAAGCAGAGGAAAAACTAGTCAATGCTAAGAGTGAAAAAGAAAAAGCCGAAATAGAGATAATAAAAAAAAGTTGATTTAAAGAATTTCGACTTAAATTAGGAACAAGCGTACCGGGACTAATTAGTGCCAATGTGGAAGTGGACGTTATAAGATACTAAAAATCATGACAAAAACTAAAAAAATACTCCTTATTGGAGGAACTGGTAAAGGAAAATCCACTCTAGCTAATGTACTGTTTAATAGCGAAATATTTAAAGAGAGTGAATTAAGTGTCAGTGAAACTAGAAATATTCAAAGTGAAGTCTTTGACCCAGGATTTACTGCCGAACAGGAAGAAGCAAAAAAAATACTCTACCATATAATCGATACTCCCGGATTAGGTGATACTAAGTTATCAGAAAGAGCAATATTAGATATCATTGAGGAAGCAGTTTATTTAGTTCGGGATGGTGTTAGTCAAGTTCTTTTTATTACTGATGGTCGCTTTGATCAGGGTGAAATAGACATTTATAATTTGTTAAAGTTAGTTCTTTTTGATCAAGAAATTACTAGTCATACTTCCATAGTGAAGACTAGATTTCCTAATTTTAGAAAAAAAGAAGAATGCGAAACTGATACTAATTTTATGATTGACGAGACAAGTGAATTAGCAGAAATAATTAAGTCATGCAATGGTGTTGTTTACGTTGATAATCCGGCATTACCATTGATAGAAGAAGAAGACGATGATAAAATTAGAAATGATAAAGAAAAAGAATTACTCGTAAACAAAGAAAAGCGAAAAGAGTCAAGAACAATATTGCTAAATCACTTAAAAAAAGTCTGTCAGAAAGATGCTTATAACCCACAAAATTTAAAGGATTTAGTTAACAAGGTTTATGAAAGAATAGAGAAAAAAAAGAAACTGGGTGAAGCATTAGAAAAATTAGATAAGCAGTTAAAAAGAGTAGAAGGAAAAGTAGAAGATGAAAAATTGTTACAAGTTATAGAAGATTTAAACAAAGAGGTAAAAAAAGAAAGTGATTCTATTCATCGAACAGTATTAGAACATGTGCAATCAAAAGTAAATAGTAATGATTTAAAGCACATTTCTGAAAATACAGAAGGGATGGATATTCCAAAAAAAAGTTCGTGAAAGGAAAAATTAAAAAAGTTCTGAGATAAATTGACTAGTAAACCAAAATTTCCAAAAAAGGGTAAAGAAAAAGACAAGTTTTTAGATAAAGAAATTAATACTAATAAGATAGATGAACTAGAAAAGGATGCGAATTTATCTAATAAAATTAGCGAAATAATAACTAATTTAACTAAAGAGGAAAAATGAATTGAGAAACCAGAATTTATAGAAATTACTACTGAACAAATCGGAGAAGTTATTGACGAATATCATAAAGTCAAAAATATACTACTGATTGGTCACACCGGTAGCGGAAAATCTACATTAGGTAATGTTCTAATAAATAAAAACAACAATTTTGAAGAAGTGTTTAAAGAAAGTGCTAAAACATACAGCGAAACAAAAGAAATCCAAAGTGAAGAAGTAGAAATAAATGGAATTTGATATCGAATAATTGATACTCCTAGTCTTGGCGATACAAATTTTTCAAAAGAAAAAGCATTAGACAAAATTATTGAAGCGGTTTATTTAACAAAAGGTGGTTTGAGTCAGATTTTATTTGTAGTCTGTGATAAATTTAATAAAGAGATAATAGACAATTATAATTTGCTAAGAAAAGTTATTTTTGATGAAAAAATTTCTAAGTATATAACCATCGTAAGGACTAATTTTCCTAATTTTGAAATTCGAGAGGAGTGTGAAAGAGACAAAAATTGGTTGCTTCATAAGAGTGAAGAATTAATCGAGATGATCAAGGGATGTAATGGGATAGTTTACATTGATAATCCCCCCATTGATTTTGATGGTGGTAGTAAAAGAAAAGAAATGAAAATTGCTATTAACAAAAAAAAAAGAGAATTTTCAAGACTAGTACTAATTGATCATCTAAAAAACTGTCAAGATTTTTATAAGTTGAAAGAGTGAAAGGAGATAGAGCAAAATTTAAGTAATGCCAAAGAAAACAAAGAAGAGCTGAAGAAAGCTAAAGAATTTTTTTCCAAAGAACTCAGAATTAAACTTAGAGTAGAATTGCCAATAATTAGTAATGAATTTAAAGCAGAAATAGAATTTATTAGGAATTAATAAAAGAAAATAAAAAAAGGAGTGATTCCTCCTTAACACCGCTATTTTAGAGTATTTATTAACTACTCCCCTTTTTTCAACATAAATAAACAAAATGTCTAATTTGAAAAATAATTACTAATATCTTATGAAAATTAACTCCTAATAATATAGTTTTTACTAACCATAATAAATAAATTTATTATAAAGTAACACAAATATTAGTAGATTTAGTAAAATAATTATTATGGAAAATGCTCAGGAATGGTTGGATAAAAATTATCCGAAAGAGATAAGAAATGAAATAAAAAACTTATATTTGAAAGAAAAAAAAATAGAAGGCGATTTAAATTTAAGCGATTTTGTTAATTTAAATGAATTAGACTGCTCTGATAATTTTTTAACTAGTTTAAACATAAATAATTGCAAGCATCTTAAAAGATTAGATGTCAGTTTCAATCATTTAACCAATTTAGAATTTAGTGGTTCGTATAAATTAGAAGTAATTAAATGCAACGACAATTTTTTAACCAATTTTGACTATTCTCTACTGAGTGCTAACAAACTAACTTATTTAAACATTAGCGATAATAATCTTCCATACCAAGATTTGTCGCCTTTCAGTCGTTTTGTTAATTTACAACTCTTATGAATTGGCAATGAAGACAAAAACAGAATTCAAAAAGATATTTATAATCGCTTTTGTGGTAGCCTAGAATCTTTAAAGTGTTTAGATAGACTAGAAAATTTGAACATTAGTAACACTGATATCAATATCGGAATCGAGTATTTACCTAATAGCATTAATAAAATTTCCTATCTAACCCAAGAAAAATCCAGTAGCGAAGTCAAAGAAATCGCTTGACAGTTAGACTTAATTACAAACAAACACGAAGAGAAAATGTGAAAATACTTCGGGTTCTCATGAGAAGAAATTAAATTATGGATAGATTCTGGTTTGACAGTTAAAGACCATACTTTAGCAGAATATTTAAAAAATGATAAAAAAATAGAACCGCTAGAAGCAAAATCCAGACTAGATGAACTAACGAAAGAATATAATTTAGCTTAGGAAAGTATTTCCCCAGAATTCACACTACAGTTACAAAAAAAATGAGAGAAAAAAGGTTTTAGCCATTGACAAACAAAGCATTTGATCAAGAATGGTTTAAAAGTGAAAGATTATGAACTAGCTTACTCTCTAGAACAAAAAAAATATAAGATTTTTGAATTACCTCCTAGCCAACTTTTAGAATTGAGAGAGAGGAATGTTAATGATTGGAAAGAAATTTGTGGTGACTTCAATCTACAATTACGAAGGGAGTGAGAGGACAGAAATTTTGATTATTGTCTAGTCGAAAAATTAATAAATGCCGGTTTTCAAGTTCGCGATGCCAACTATGCTCAATGATTAAGAGATGTTAAAGGAAAAAATGCTGAGTGGATTTTGAGTGATGGCAGTAGTGACATCTATTTCCGAAGTCAGCACTCCGATTACTTAATTAATAATAAGTTGGATTTAGATTTAATAAAACAAATAGAAAGTTTTGACCACAAAAATTTAACTTTCGAGCAACAATCTTTAATTGATGGATCAATAGTTAATCAAGATTTATATGAGAGATATATTAGATATGGACTATGTAAAGAATGCAAGCAACCTTGCACTTGATTTAATTGATGCTTAATTTGTAATATTAAACATTTAAAGCAAGAATTTGAAAATTGAACTAGTGGTAATGCTGAAATCGATGAGTTTATTCGCAATCATCAATTAAAGTCAACTCATCCATACTATCTTTTAGAATGAGTACCTTATGAATATTTTAGAAATATTGAAAAAATAGCAGAAGGAGGCTTTGGAATGGTGTTTAAAGCTGAATGACATGGACCGATTAGAGAATGAAATAGCAAAAATGATAGATGAGAGAGAAACAAATATAGCTTTACCGAAGTAGTTTTAAAAATTCTTAACAATTCACAAAATGTCACTGTGGACTTTTTGCAAGAGATTACTAGTCATAATTTGTTTACTCCTAGCAATGTTGTGAATTGTTTTGGAGTTTCCTAAGATCCTCAAACCAATAATTATATCATAGTATTTTTGGCGGTGACTTAAGACGGTATTTGCAAAACAATTATTGAAAATTAAGTTGGAGAGATAAATTCGAGTAATTATTTCACATTACCACTGGGTTAGAGTCAATTCATCAACGAGGGTTAATGCATCAAGATCTACATTCAGGTAACATACTGATTGGTGATAATTATAATTACATCGCTGACTTAGGACTGTGTCGCCTTGCCAACGAAAGAAATAAAAAAAAAGTCTATGGAGTGCTACCATACATAGCACCAGAAATTTTGCTAGGCGAACCATATACCCAAGCCGCAGATATTTATTCCTTTGGCATAGTTGCTTACGAACTCTTGGCTAATTCTTATCCTTATGCTGATCTAAAGTTGGATGATACTTCTTTAGCCTTTAAAATATGTAATGGATTACGACCTAAAATAAATAGATTGAAAATACCTAGATTATTAAAAGACTTAATTAAGAAATGTTGAGACAAGAATCCTACTGAGAGACCAAAAAAAGAGTTATTTATTAACATTAATCGTTGATGATTAGAAATTGGTGAAACCATAGAAAATAATGTTGAATTCGCTAGCCAGGTTCAAGAAATAGAAGAAGAATATAGTCATTGGTCTCAAAATACTCCTTATTACATTTATTGTAATATGGTCACTACTAGTAGACCTATAAACACCAAAGAAATTGTCCAACTATTTCAAAAATCTAAAAAACGAGCCTTAGAACAAGAACTAAAAAAAATTGAAAAAGAAATCAGTCAACCCCTTACTGAGGAACAAAAAGAGTTAATAAGTGATTGTATCCAACTTAGGAAAATAATAACAAAAGACAAAGAAAATGAAAAAGCGGAGGACAAAGTTTGAAAACTCGAAGCTAATTTAAAAGAAAAAGGTCATTCAAGAGAAAATATAGAAAAAATCACTAGGTACTGCGAAAGTTTTGTTAAGAAAGAGACAGAATTAGAACAATTATGAGCCAATGTTGAAGTACCAACTAATAAATAAATTTTTTTAAATAATACTATGGTAAAAATAAATAATAAAGTTGAGTTTATCAATGCTAAAATTGAAAAAGAAATAGAAATCGAAAATAACCGAAGTTTTCGAGGAGAATTAGTTATCGAAGACTATTCAGAACTAGAAAACTTATACTTACGAGATGTTAGGAAAGTGGATAAAATAACTCTTAAAAACTTACCTAAGTTACAAGAATGCACCATTTGAAAATGTGATACTAATGACTTGGTCGTTGACAATTGTCTCCAAATCAATAAATTAAATGTTCGCCAAAATAATTTAACTAATTTAGAATTTATAAAAGATTTAGAAAATTTAGAAGAACTGGAAATAGAGGGTAACCCTAAATTAATTGAAATTTTAGAACCTTATGATGATTGGAAAGATCATCAAAAAGACCTTCAAGAATCAAACAAAGACACTCTGGAGTTATTAAAAAATATCCGAGTTTTAGAGAAAGAAAAAAAATCTTTAAATATCAAATATACTGAATTAAAGAAATTTCTTAAAGAAAAAACTTTTATTTTGCTCTCCCGAGATGCCAAACAAGAATTAGTAAATAAATTAGACAAAGAATTTCGAGAAAAAGAAAATTTGTTGCTTATTCCAGGAAAAACTAAGGAACTAATGTTGAGCACCGAAGAGGCCATTAAAAGTGTAAAAGAGATAAAGAAAGATTTAGAGGAAGAATTAGATAAATCAAAAACAAAAATTAAGGAGTTGGAAAAAAGGTTGAAAGAATTTCGAGAAAAAGATACTTATTATCAAGAATTAAAAAAAAGTGTCGAGCAAAAGAAAAAAGAATTAGAAGAGTTAAAGAATGTAGTTATTACCAATAATCAATTGAAGGAAGATGATTTAGATGATATTTTAGAAGCTCAGGAGAGAGGAGATTACAAAAAATTAAAACGTGCTAGAAGAAATTTAATGATGTTTGCACAAAGGATTAGTGAACAAGAAATCAATAATCTGTGTCAGTTACAAAAAGTTATTGTAGAACTAGAAGTTGAGCTAGGAGAAACTGAAAAAAAACAAATCTACCAAATAAATATCAATGGTGGATACAATATCAATAATTTTGGAAGTAAGTTTTATGACTCATCTTTTGGAGGAAATATTAATGCTGAACAGCAAGGGATCGAAAATCTAATTGCCCAAATCGAATCTCTACCCAAAAACTAACACATGACTGATCAAAATAAATGAAGTATATTTATAAGTGGCGGTAATAATATCAATAACCATGGAAATAATTTTCGGAATAATTCTATGGGTGGAATTATAAATGCCGGATTCCAAAAAACATGCCTTATTTGCCAAGAGATAGTAGGGTTAGAATTCTCTAATGAGTGTCAGTGTGAAAAAAAGAATAGTCATTGTAAATATTGCCAATCTAGTGATATTGATAAGAAAAATTGTTCCTGCCAAAAAGAAAAGCAGTTAAGCGAATTAGAAGCAAAAATAGTTCAATCAAAAAAGGGCGAAACAGAATTGGAGGAGTCATTTGAAAAACAGCGTCTAGGACTCGAAAGTGTTAGAAAAAAAGCGATCAAATCAAGGAAAGGGGAAAAAAATAATGATAGATTGCAAATTGAACGGAATAACTTGCAACAAATGAAGGGGTTTAGACAACGAACCTTAACTAACGGAACATCTAATGAACAAATTAAACCTAATCTAAAATATCTCATAGATAGAGGTGGATACGGTGAAGTATATTATGGAGAATGAAAGTTGCAAGAGGTAGCGGTCAAGAAATTATATTTACCAATTCATATTGCTTCTGAATCCGACATTAAAGTCATTAAAAAAGAAATAGAAATTCTCAAGGATTTGAGAAATAGGTATATTATCCAATATTATGGGGTTTATTCTGATGACCAAGGGTTTCTTATTATAATGGATTATGCTGAAAATGGCACTCTGACTAAGTTCGTCAATGACAATAAAAATAAAGAGCATGATTGAAATTTTAATACTAATCTCATCAAACAAATGGCATTAGGATTGGCCTATATTCACCATGAGAATTTTATTCATCGGGATTTAAAGAGCATGAATATCTTGCTAGCTAACAATTATGAAGTAAAAATATCAGACTTTGGCTTATCTAAGACTAAAACTATGAGTTCTTCTTCGCAATCAAAGGATGTGAAAGGAACTTTAAGATGAATGGCTCCGGAGTTACTGAGAGGTGAAAAATATTCCGAACAAACAGATATCCACTCTTTAGGTATGGTTATCTGAGAAATTGCTGCTAAGTGTACAAGACCTTTTGAAGATATTGATGATAATTCAGTAGGTATTTATATTGCTAGAAATAAAAAAGAAATAATACCAAGTGACACTCCTAGAGATATTCAAAATATTATTGAACAATGCTGAGAAAATGACCCTAGTAAAAGAATAACCTTATTAAGCATACTTGAAATAATTAAAAGTGATAGTTATGCTAGTCGACTACTAGAATCTTCGAACCTATCTAAGTCTCGAAACGGTCAAGAAATTAATGACCACTTTCGTAAATTCTCTCAGTCGTTGAAGTTTGACATTGGAGAAATTAACAAGTTTTTAGAAGAACGAAGAGAACAACTAACTCTAACCGATTGAACAACTGCACATTCATCTTTTGCTCCCCAACTAATCCAACAGTGACAATCGCATAACTTTACCGCTCAGCAATGCAAAGAATGAATAAATATCGGCCTAAAATATACTGAATATATTTTCTGTGCCTGACTCAGAGATACTAAACAACTAACTCCGGAAGAAGTACTAAACCATGGCAATTTAGAACAGTTAAATCAAGAATATTTTCAGTGGTGGCAATCCCAACAACAAACTCAAATCCAAATCCCACCTAAATAGGCAGAATTATTCGGTATCATAAATTCATAAATATATATAAAATAATATTAAGGAGTTGCGGAGAGAAAAAAAGAGGGTTATTTTGCTGCTCTCTCTCTCTCTCTCTCTCTCCACTCTTTTTTAATTATTTATATTTTTTAAAAATTGAATAAAATAATAAAAAAGAATTTATAGTTATAAAAACATAAATATACATCATACATTTGAAAATTAGAAAAAGAATAGAAATAAAAAATCATGGTATTAGACATAAATACAATTAATAGCATAAATGATGCTAAAAATGCCGATTATGCAGGAGAAAAGTTAGGCGATGCCGATAAGGCCATATTCGTCGATACTAAGTTAAAAAATCCAGATGGTAGTGAGAATATTGGCAAAATTCGAAAGATTTCCAAGTTATTGGATGAAGTAAAGAGAGCAAAAAAATTAACCAAAAAAGATATTGTTTTATTAGGCAACTTAGAAGCAGCAGTAGCAGAAACCGGAACTGATACTCCTTATAAAATGATAAATGCGGTTGATGCCCAAATTGATAGTGCAATTACTGCACTAAAAGCACTTCCGGAAGATGGAGACAATAGTACTGAAATTGCAGAAGCGAAGAAATTATTGAAAGGAATTCAGTCTGTAATTTTGGCAAAAGAAGAAACTCAAAAAGAAGTTTTGAAAGAATTGGAAAGATTTAATAAAGACACTGCTTATAAAAATAAACAGGAAGTTTTAAGGCTTAGAAAATTAAAAGATAATGTTGAAGCGAGAAAAGAATTAGTAAAAAAAGATATAAATGCGAAAAAAATTTTAGATCAGATTATAAAATTAGCAAAAGAATATACTGAATGAAATTATTATGGAGATAATCAACATAAATCTAATATTTCTGTAACTAATAAGAAATTCCTTGCATGGAGAGGGATGAGTGATGTTGCTATTACTTTTGCTGCGATTGTAAAAGAAATAAGCAAAGAGGAATTAAAAAAATCTGGTATCAGTCAAAAAGGTTTAGAGGCTTTTGAAAATATTGAAAAAATTGTATTTAATAAAAATTATAGAGGAAAATGATTTGAAGAAAGTTTCGGTAAGGATACAACAACAGGTGAAGAATTTGCCGATTTGGATGAAGAAAACATGTTAAATGGCGGTTATGAAAAAAAAGAAAACTGACCAAATTCTAGTTTTCAATTAAAGGACTTGTTTATTTTCATGGAAGAAGTTTTCCCTGAAACTGATTATTCAAATAAAGTGGGAGATTATGTAAACAAAGACAAGGACAAACATATAAAAGGCAGAAACAATGTTTCGATATTAGATAAAGAGTATGAAATAATATGGGATGGTTCGGAGCTTAACCCGCACAAAGTTATTTCGCAATATGCAGAACCATCAGATTTTAAATTTTCGCCTCGTCCGGAAAGAATTAAAGTTAAATGAGGGGATGGTAGTTTAGTAAGAACTTTTTATGAAGTTTTTCATTCCGAAAGAGGCAGAAATTTTAAAGTTAAAAAAATGATGGATGAAAATGGCGATTTGATAGAAACTAATGTGACTGAAATTCAGTCAAAAGCAATTTTTGCTAGGGACTATAATATTTGAACTCAAATTTGTGCAAATAATTATGTTGAAGCTGTCAGAAATATTGTTGGAGATGAAATTGATGGTTCGGAGGTTGATTTTGAAGGAGATGGTTGAGGAAGAATAGCTAGAAAAGTTGCTATGACAGCAGCACTTACTAAGAAACATTTTTCAGCAAAAATTATGGGTTTGTCTAGAAAACAAAAAATAAGTAAATTTGAAATTGTTTCTTCACTTTCTTTAATTTCTCCATCTAATTATGAACTCAAACCAGATGAAAATTATGATTATAAAAATTACGACATTGATTTATGAGATACAATTGTTTCCCAAGTTGAAGCTAAATTGAGTCTTGCTGAGGTGTATACTGAAATTGATAAAGATGAAATTGCAAAAATAAGAGGAAGAATTAGAGCTATAGAAGCTGAAATTAGACAGGAAAAAGAAAAAGAAAAGGTTGCTAAACAAGCTCTTCAAGATGCTGAGGGAAAAGATTTAAATAAATTAAAACAAGAATTTGATGTCATTTACGGAGAAGGACCGACTAAAAAAAAATATAGTTGAATCGAAATTTTGAAGATGAATAGTAAGTTGAAATCTATTAAAGCAAAATCATCTGGAAGTTTAGATAGTAAATATTCTGGCTATCAACAAGAAATACAAAAGATTGTAAATAGTTTAGGAGGTGCTGGAAATATCGACCTTACCAAATGGATGGCGATGAGTGGAAGTGCAAAGGAAAGAATGGATTTAATAGGACTTAGCACCCCAGAAGAAGTTAAAAATTATTATGAAAAAATTCGGGATGCTTTATTAGCTAATGAAAAAATTGCTGGTTTATCTCCAATTGAACAGGAACAACTAACCCAAATTAAAGCAATTTTAGAAGAAGAAACTCCGCAAGATACACCTTTTTCATTTCCAGAACTGATTACTGTTTTAAAAGGAAAAACTACCGAAACCAATGAAAATGTTTATCACTTTAATGATTGAAAACAAACAACCAACTTTAAAGTAAAAGGTGATATTGAAAAATTGATTAACTCGGTTTGCGAAACTGATGGGAATGTTAAAGAAACATTTAAAGACCATCTAGCCGCTCATGATAGTTGAGAAATAACTAAAATAGCAAAAGATGCCGACCAGTGAGAAAAGTTTATTAAAAACAAACCAGAACACATAATTGCGGCAATTAAGTTATTTACTGAATACGAAGAAAAAGATGCTCCTGCGAAAAAAGTCATAACCGATGAGATGGAAGCTAAAAATAATGAAGCCAATGCTCATCCTACTGATAAATGAAATACAACTGATGAAAAAGACATTTCCCAATACCTTTACCGGGTAGCCGAAGGACAAACCGGCGATCAACTTCTTAAAGCTAAAAAAAGTCAAGCTCCTAATGAAGGTCCTAAAAAAGACAATGAAGAAAAAGGTTGGCTAAGACCCGGCAATTGACAAGTCTGAGCCGTATTTGTGGGTGTTCCTTTAATAGTTGGAGGAATTGCGTTTTACTTCTTCTGAGAACAGATTTCTAACTGATGAAATGGTCCAATGGAAGAAGGTAGCGGCGAAGTTGAAAAAACTGACGAAGAAGAAAACGAATAGTTAACTGATAAACCTTAATAACTAACTTATACTGCTCGCTCTTTTTGGGCGGGCAGTTATTTAAAAAAACTAAAAATTCTTATTAAAACTGTTATAATTATGAAGACTGGTGGCAGTTATTAGTTCATAGATAACTGAGGAAAGTCCGTACTCGCACTTACTGGAATCGTAAGTAGTTTTAGTGCAAGGTCTAATAAACCTTGGCAGGTCTGCGTTCTCTTTCCTGACGGCTGGCAAATTACCTAAATACCTTTTCTCTCTGGGTATATGGTATAATAGCCTATAAAAGTGCCATAGTGACGATTACTTGGGAAACCAAGGAAGTGGAACGACGTAAACCCCGCTAGCGAGCAATCCAAATTCTTTAAATGGTAGGAGCATCAAAGAAAGAGAAAAATAATCTCAATTGATAATTCCCGCAAGGGAGTTAAGATAAATCACTGGTTAAAAACAGAATACGGCTTATTCTTCATATAGCATAATTATTTTGGTAAGAAAATAAAAACTTCGAAATTTGGAGAGGTGTAGTTCAATTGGTAGAACGTCAGTCTCCAAAACTGATTGTTGTGGGTTCGAGTCCTGTCACCTCTGCCAAAAAGAAGTTTTTACCAAAAGGTTTTTTTAATAGAAATTCCTTTTGGTAAGCAATAATAACCAAGACTAAAAGCATTTCCTTATGCTTTTTTCCTTAACTTATTATTACATTTTCAAAAATTTTTGGAAAATTTTTGAAAATATTTAATCCATGTCCGAAAAAAACGAGGAAAAAAACCAAGAAGAATATAGTGCCAAGGATATCCGAGTTACCAAAGAGGATATCGAAAAGGTTAGAAAATGACCGGCCATGTATATTGGTTCAACCGACGAAAGAGGTTGACACCACCTTTTTCAAGAGGTAATTGACAACTCTATTGATGAAGCGGTAGGTGGTTATTGTAGTGAGATTAAAATAACTCTTTCCGCCGACCAAAAAGAAATTACGGTGGAAGATAATGGTCGGGGCGTGCCGATTGAAATTCATCCCGACACCAAAAAAAGCACTTTGGAAACTATTTTCACTACTCTCCATTCGGGTGCCAAATTAGAGAGTGAAGTTTACAAAACCTCAGGAGGTTTACACGGAATAGGGGTAACCGCAGTTAACGCTTTATCAGCCTATCTAAAAGCCCGAAGTACTCGCGAAGGAAAAACCGAAATACTAGAATTCCAAGAAGGAAAATTAATTAATCCACCGCAAATTATTGATGCTCCTCAACAAGCAAATGGAACTATCATTAGTTTTACTCCCGACCCCAAAATTTTCAAAGAATTCACTTACTTCAAAATTGAAACTATTCAAAGTCGTTTAAATGAACTAGCCTATCTTAATCCTAATTTAACTTTATTTTTTTCTACTTCTCCCGACGCTACTCCTATTGTTTACCATTTTAGCAGCGGTTTAGCCGGTTGAGTAAAAGAAGTTAACCAAGATAATTATTTAGAAAATACCGAAATCTGTATTGAGGAATGAACTAACCCTGGTGAAAAAAAAGAATATTTTTATTTAAATTTCGCCTTTCAGTATAATCAAAAGCAAAGAAAAAATGTAATCAAATCTTTTTGTAATAACATTAGCACTCCCGAAGGAGGAAGTCACATTGAGGGTTTTGAAAACGGACTAATTAGTGCTTGCCGTGATTGAATTAAAGATAAATATACCCAAGCAAAGGTTAACGTTTTAAAAGATGATGTTTTGGAAGGGTTGGTGGCTATTTTGGCTATTCGGATGAAAGACCCTCAATTCTCCGGACAAACTAAATATCGTTTAGCCAATAAAACTATCGGAAAAACAACTACGGTTCGGGAAATTGTCAAAAATGCTACTTATGATTTAGTCAAAAGATTTCTTCAAGACCACGGCAATAGTGCCGAAGCCATTAGTCAACAAATTATTACTACCGCTCAAAATCGGGTCAAGTATGAAGAATACAAAGAAACTCTGCGAGAAGGAGGAAGGAGCGCCACTTTACCTGGCAAATTAGTTCCTTGTATGTCCAAAGACATAGCCGATAATGAATTGTTTATTGTCGAAGGAGATTCCGCCGGCGGTAGTGCCAAGGCAGCTCGTTTCCCTAAAAATCAAGCGATTTTACCAGTTCAAGGAAAAATTCTTAATGTTCTAAAAGCTAAGTGAAGTCAGATTTCAAAAAATAAAGAAGTTGTTAGCATAATGAACGCTCTCGGATTTAGTGCGACGGAAGCGGCTCAAAATTATTACAATCTCTTTCAAAATGAATTAGACCACGATGTTATCCAAAAGGAATTAGAAATCCCTGAGGAATTTATTTATCAAGACGAAAATGGTCAATCCCAAATAATTCCCGCCCATACTTCCCTTACCCGTGAACAAGTAGAAATAATAGTTGAAAAAAGCCGAGAAAAATTATTAAAAAAAATTCGTTATGGCAAAGTAATGCTTATGGCTGATGCCGATGCGGATGGCGAGCATATTGAGTGTTTAGGATTCAATTTTTTTATTCGTTATTTTCGTTATCTAATTGAAGATGGTCGCTTAAACTTAGCGGTTACTCCACTCTATCGTTGACAAACCAAAGAAGGAGTTAGATATTTTGCTAATGACTATCTTTGAGAAAAATATCGGCAGGAAAATAAAAAAGTTTCCGGTAATTTACAACGATTTAAAGGATTAGGAGAAATGCAAGCAAAACAGTTACGGGACCTCGTTATGGTTGCTGAAAATCGCTCCCTTAATGAATTAACTTATCCTGACCCTTTGGCTATTCGGAAGACCTTCCAAGATTTAATGGGTCCCAAAAGTGAACCTCGCAAAAAACTTTTAGAGAGTGGTGAATATAAACATGCCGAATTAAAGCCAATTGATGGTAAAGTAGATATCAAGCAAGCCCTCTTAGTAAAATTTTCTGATTACGGTTATGAAGTGGTAGAAGAGCGAGCCCTAACTCAATTACAAGACGGTTTAAAACCAGTCCAGCGTTATATTCTCTATGTTCTTTATTTATTAGGCTATTTACCCAATAAACCTCATAAAAAGGTGCCAAGTGTAATTGGGGATATTATCAAATACCACCCCCACGGTGACCAAAGTATTTACCAGGCGATGGTGAAAATGGCCCAAGACTTCAATTATCGTTATCCCCTCGTTGATGGACAAGGTAATTGAGGTTCAATCGATGGTGATTCTGCTGCCGCTTTTCGTTATACCGAAGCCCGTTTAACTCGTTTTGGTTGGTATCTGCTGAAAGACTTAGAATATGAAACCACAGTAAACTGAGTAATTAACGATTACAACAACGAAAAAGAACCCGAAGTACTACCACCCCACCTTAATTTATTACTCAATGGTTCTAGTGGTATTGCGGTAGGAATGAGTGCCAACCTCCCTCCTCACAATTTAGGAGAAGTGGTAGATTTAACCATTGATTTACTTAATAACCCGCAACTTAACACCGAAGAATTAATAATTAGTTGAGTTTGCTCCGATTGTCAAAGCAAAGGAAAGGGAAAGACTACTCAATGCTCGGCTTGTCAAAGTCCGAAAATCAATTTAAATTATTTTGGACCCGATTTTCCCACCGGCGGGCAAGTATTAGAACGGGAAAGATTTTTGGAAATTTATGAAAAAGGCGAATGTGCCAAAGGTAAAGGAACTATTTACATTCGGGCCAAAGCCGAAATTATTTCCAGCAAGCAAGAAAAAGATAAAAAAGATTTAATTAGAATTATTGAATTACCTTTCAAGGTCAACAAATCAAAAGTAGTAGCCAATATTAGTCAAATAATTAAAGACAAAAAGATTCCCGGATTGAGGAGCGTTGATGACTATTCTAACTTTGAAGACCCAGTAAATATTCACTGTTATTTTGACCCAAATTACGATGGAGAAGTTATTCTTAACCAATTATACAAAAGAACCAAACTTCAAAACACTTTTTCGGTTCAAATGCGGGCTTTGATCGGAGACCAACCCAAAGTTTTTTCCTTAAAGGAAATTCTCCAAGCATTTATCGATAAAAAATTGGAAACTGTTAAAAAAAAATCCCAATTTATTTATCATAAGACTCAAAAAGAGTTAGTTAATTTAAAAATTCGTCTTTTTAATATTAAAAATTATGCAGGGGTGGTTCAAGTAGTTAATGACAGTTCTTCCAAAGAAGAAAGTAAAAAGAAACTACTGGATAAATTCCGGGAAGAAATAAAGGATTTAAGAGACGAAACAGTGGATTTATTTTTGGCTGACCTTATTATCAAGGCCGAAAAAGCAATTGGGGAAATTGAAAGCCAAAGTCGGCGAAGAACTGAGGCCGCAAAGAGAGAAAAATATCGGGAGTTGGTTAGTTTGATGAAACAAATTGATTTATACAAAAATGATAAAAGTTACCAGAATAAAGGTAGTGAAATAAATGAAATAAAAGAAAGAATAAATAGCCCCGAAATTGGAAAAAGAAAAAGTGATAAAGAATTTTCCGATACAATTACCCTCCTAGAAAGTTATCTTAATCCAGAACAAAAAGTTGCTGAAAGCATTCTAGGAAACCCACCACCCTCCTTTTTCAGTTTTTTTTTAGAACAAAAGAAAAAATTACAAAATGATATCGAGGTCTTGGGAGAAAAACTTACCCAACAGCGATTATTAATTACTGACCAAGAGCAGAGAAAACAACAACTAATCAATGAATTAATTGAGTTGAAAAAGGACTATGCTGACGACCACCGAAGAACTATTATTAGCGCTCAATCCCATTCTATTGCGGAAAGACAACTCATTCCCCACGAAGAAAGGATTATTCTGTTAAGTCGTTCGGAGAACAAAAAAGAAAATAAAATCAATAACTATTTAACTGTTCATCATCTTTCGGCACTGGAACCAACCAATATTCCTAGTCAAGGCAAAGGATTAAAAACCCGAGGTGATAATTGGGCGTTAATTAGACTTGATCGTCGTGACGATTTATGATGTTTTTCTAGTTACGGTAAATTATACAACCTTACTTTTTACGAGTTTGCGGCACTCAATAAAACTACTAATTTAAATGAAGAATATTTCGTTAGAAGTCGGAAAGGAGTATTAAAACCAACTTTACAATCCACTGAATTCTTTACCGCGGCTTTGTCAGTTCAAGAAGAATTTACCGAACGATTCTTGCTTATTATTACCCAAAAAGGAAAAATTAAACTGCTTGCCCGAGAAAAATTACAGAATATCAGCAAATCAGGAAAGAAATTAATTAATCTTTATCAAAAAACGATTGAAAAATGTTCTCTTCACCAAACTCAATTAACCAAGCATAAATCTGTTTCCCATACTTGCGGTATCGGTTGCCCGCAGTTAAGAGAACTGCAAAAACAAATTAGAGAATGTAATAATTGTCAAGAAAAATGAACTGGTAGTGGCGACGAAATTGTTAAAACTGCTTTGGTTCAAGGCAATGAGGAGGTAGAAATCATTCTCAAAAGAAAAAGCAAAGATGGTCAGGTAAAAAACTTAAAAATTCCGATTTATCGCCAAATGCGCAGAAAAAACGAGGAAGGGAAGCCGATTTATTGTTCGACTCATCAAACTGAATTGAAAGAACATAAAGCAAGCCATACCTGCGGAATAACTTGTGCCGGAATAAGAGAACTGCAAAAACAAATTAGAGAATGTAATAACTGTCAAAACCCCCACTTATTTACTAAGCAAATCAGAAAACAAATAAAATGCGAGCAAGTAGTTGATTTATTGGTAATCAAAGCCGAAGAAAATAAGGAAAATTTGATGCTGTTCTTAATCAAAAAAGATAATACTTGTGAGAAAAGGTTATTATCCGCGGCTAAAACTTGAATTAGTTCCGATAGCAAATTAAAAAAAACTGCTTACTGTAAAAAACATTGAATTGATTTAGAAAAATTAGAAAAGGTTAAAGAAAAATCAGAAAAAGAAGTAGGGGAAGAAAGAGAACTAATGGAAGAGAGGGTGTTAAAATCTACTTTGCCTTTGGAAGTCAAAGAAAAAATTCTGAAAGATACCAAATTAATTACTGGTATAAATACCAAAGAGATAACTAAAAAAATTGCTAATTCTCCGGTTGACCTAACCATTGGCGAAGCGGCTATCAAAAGTCAAATCCAAGACCTAAAACAAAAAGGAACTACTTACCAAAAATTACTAACCGAATATAAAAAACAACAAAGCAAAATAAATGATTTCAAAGAAAAAAGTAAACAATGTAAAGATTGTCAAAAATATTGTCCTAAGCACGAAAAGCAAAACCAAGAAGTAATGGCTAAGCACGATACATGTAATTTTTGCCATAAGAACGATAAACAAATCGAGCAAACAAAAGCAAAGGTAGAGGAAATCAAGGAAAAAATAGAAAGATTGAAAAAAAGTAAGCCGGGAGCAACCAAAGAAATTCAAAAATTAGTTAATGAGTTAAATAAGAAGAAAGCCCAAGGTGAAAAATTACGTCATGAAGCCTTTGCTAATCGGGTTAAATGTCCGACCTTAAATAAATTAAAAACTGAGCGAAAGGCTTGTTCTAAGTGTCAAGAACAAGAAAAAAAGAAATATCGAGCCCGTTTGGAAAATCCTTTACGACAAGTATGTTTGGTTAATAAGGAAAGCAATCCCGAAATATACCTATTAGCCAACGAAGATGCCTGCTGATATAATAAAAAAGATTTAACTTCTTTCTTGGAAAGTAGTGGCAAAAGTAAGCGAATATTAAAAGACGAAAAAAGAGAAATTACTGATATTAGAATTTACTCTACGCCATAAATTTACTTATAATATTAATGTTGTAATAAATTTTATGAAAAGTAAAAATCGAGAAAATTATGTTATCCTTCAAGAGAAATTGAGAGAGTTAGAGGAGAAATTATTCAACACCAAAGAAAAATTAAAAATGTATGGTTATAAAGATAGTTCGGAAAATGGGGATTTAACCGCCTTGAATGAAAAGGCTAAAATATACCAATTCCAAATTAATTTGTTAAAGACCAAGATGGAAAGAGTGAACCAGGAGGACGACAAAACTATTACTTATAAAATACTAGCCACCGGTGAGAAAAAAACCGTTCAACTAACCAATGGAGAAACTGACCCTGACCAGGGCAAAATTTCTCGAACTAGTCCGGTGGGAATGGCCCTTGACAAGAAAAAAAATGGTGAAGTAGTTGAAGTTAAAATAAGTCAAAAGAGATATCAAATCCAAATTATTGATATCAAAGAAGTTTAGACAAAAGACAAATTACATACAAATTTACCCATTTTTTATTTACATTGTAATACGGTGTTATATAGGTAATTTTCCAACAGAACAAAAAAAATCTATATTGGAAAAAGTGACCAAGTTTCAGCATAAAGTTATATAAAACAAATTAAGATAAAAAAGTAATAGTTAAAGTTGAAAAGTAATTTAATAGCAGTTTACAGCCTAAGGCATAAAGCGTTTAATCATAGCGTTCCATCGTTTACCTATTAAATGAAACTAATAAAAAACGAGTAGTTAAATGATTAGCCACTGAACTTATTTCAGTAGTAGAACAATATCTAAGTTATTATTAACTACTTATTGTGCAACTAATTATTTAATTCTCCCCCAAGAATTAAAGATAATGGTAAACCAAATATATTTCAAATATCAACTATTCTTGTGCCACTAGGCACAAAAAGAATAGCAAGAATTAGCCGAGAGGCATTAAAAAATTTAAACTTCTCCCTTTCGCCCTAGTAGTAGCGACTTTCCCAGAAGGATAAAAATGGTGAAAGAATATTCTTCTAAGTTCTAATATAAATTATTGCTTATCAGAGTATTATTAAAACAGTTGGCTAACTCTGTAAAAGTTAGCAAAATAATACAATATATAATATTACACTATTCAAATTAATTTCCGCTTTTCTATAATCTAATTTTAAGCATTAACCAACTCCAAGCTTCTTTCTGCACATCTTTTTATTCTCCTTC